GCCCGAAGTCACATCCACCTGCATCGATAATTCACTGCTTCTTATTCATGTATAAGGAACAAGACACCTTCCCCCGGAGAAAACTTACTGTTCCATCGTCATGTAAAAATAAAACTCGAACCAAAATACACGTACGGGAACTTTCCAGTGTGAACAGCTGGCAAGTCTCCTTCCTGGTTTATTTGTCATTTGCAGAATATTTGGGTTTGCTCTCTGCTTCACTGACTTCGCTGTTGTTCTGAAACCTTCCGGCCTGTTTGCACTTCTTCGCTCAGGAAGAACCTGAGAACTGAATCGGGGCTTACTAGCCTTTCCTCTCACATAGGTCAGCTGGAGTAGAAAAGGGGGTTTGTTTGGTTTGTAATATCTAATAGCTATTTAAGACATAAGTATTTATCAAAGGACTTTACACCGATATTGAAAACAGCAAGGAATGATTTCATCCGGAGGAAAATAATGCTATTTGCCTATTATGACGGTAAAGTATTTTTGCGGTTGGCTATTTCTCCAGCAGCTCCAAGTGGCTTCACCATATGCCACACTTCTTGCTTCTGAAAAAAAACAAAAAAACAAAAAACTATAGTGCATACTTATTCATTTTTGTAAAATATCAAATAAATAGTTGTGATCACAATTGAATACACAATTTTCATTCAGAATATTGATGCCTTGTATACAATTCCTAAAACAGTCTATTAATTGACATCTGTCAGTTACACAGACATTTTATCTTTAGCCTTTGTAAATCAACACAATGTAATATTCAATTCAATATAGCAAAATTTACCAAGACATACATTCCTTATTCAAATTAAATATATTCTATTAATGATCAGGATTATGACAAAACTGGAATACATATATTCCAGTTTACATATAAAGCTGGAATATATATAGAGAGAGAGAAAGAGAGAGAGAGAAACTGGAATGTATATACATATATGTGTATATGTATGTGTGTATAGATAAATATAATCAGGAAGGAAAAGGCTTTTTTTAATTGGTAAGAATAGAGGCTTGATTAAACAGAATTTGGAGTGTAATGGCTGACTCATTAGCAAACTAGCCAGACACTTGTCAATTTGGTTCAGCATAGTTAAGTTCATTTTTCCTTAGGACACACCATAGACTTTTAAAAAATTAATTAGCCTATAACTGTCAGTACATCACTGTTCTTATTTCTTTGATTAAAGAATATTCCTAAATCCTAGATGACAAAAAACTGAAGGATATATATTTTTCTTTTGAAGGACTTAGCAGAACTTTGTAAAATTTAGCAACAATATGCTTCAGGAAATATAAACAAAAAGTCGCCATCTATATACTAGTTAATCTGTTCTTCTATTCTTGAAAGAAAGGAGAAGGAAGTTCATGACTAGGTAGATTTGTTTGTTTAAACACACAAAAAGCTTGTTTAAAAATTGGCATACAGTGGTACAGCAAAGTCCACATGGTTCTTATCTTGCCCATTTCGTCAGTCAACTGATGGATGATTGATTTCACGTGGTTCTTACCCATTTCGTCAGTCAACTGATGGATGATTGATTTCACTTTCTCTATCCTAGAAGTAAAAACAGTAACAGGTAAAGTTTAAGAGTGCTTACAGTGTGCTAAGCACTGACTTAAGATGCATAATGTATCATTGAAACATGAAGATACAATGTCTCCTTGAGTTCAGACCACAATCCCATGACATTCTTACTGCTATTACTCCCATTTGACAATGCGGAAGTAAAGTTACAGATTGAGTAATTTGCCCAACAGCATTTATATGGGTGAGAAGTAAGGGAGAGGAAACAGAGAGGGAAAGGAAATTCTCAAAAGGAATCAGCACACTAGCAAGGTTACCTTCTGACTAAAAATCAAAGAAATGCAATAAAACTTTTAAACAAGTAAAACAAGCCTGTTGTCCTTGGTTGTCCCTAATGCTGGCCAGCGTGGATTAAAATCATCTGAGCAGAGACTAAATGTGTCTTTCACATATTACTTGGTAAATATTAGGAACTTACTAGGTCTTTGTTTATTTGAAAGAATGAATGCATCAATCAATAGAAACTGGGTATAACAGGAAAAAAATTATCAACATACACTTAAACATCACTAAAATGTTCATATTCTTTAATTTACTAGCTATTCTAGGTAAATAATCCACAATGTGGGAAGTGCTATATACACAACAACATTTATCATTTACAAAAGAGAAAAGTAGAAATGATAACTGTCCAACAATAGGCAGATTCATGAGCATTATCTGGATAGAATATCTCACAGCTACTAGAAATGAAAGTTATTAAAAGACAGTAAGTTGCAATGTGGGAAAATGAGAAAATGTTGGGTAAAAAAGATCTAATTTTTCTTTTTTAACCAGTGTCACACCAATAAATTCAACAAAAAAGTAAAATAAATAAATAAATGATTTTACAAGTCAGAAAACAGTACAGAATTTCAGTTTGGGAAGATGAGAAGGTCTGGAGATGGATGGTAGTGATGGTCGCACAACAATGAGAATGTATTTACAGCACTGAACTGTATAATTAAAATGGTAATTTTTGTTACACATATTTTACTAGAAAAAATAATCAGAAGTCAAAGTCAACATGTACCATGATCAGAACTAAGAAAAGAAGACTGAAAAGCAACCCCCCCATAGCCATAATATTGATATAGTTATTAATAGATGTAGAATTAGGTTCCTACTGTTTGGGGTATATGGTTATATTATATCTATTTTTAATATATTTGTATTAATTTGAGAGAGGAAGGGAAAAGGAGAGAGGGACAGAAACATCAATGATGAGAAAATAGCATTGATTGGCTGCCTTCTGCATGCCCCCTACTGGGGATTGAGCCTGCAACCCTGGCTTGTGCCCTTGACCTGAATTGAACCCAGGAACCTTCAGTCTGCAGGCTGAAGCTTTATCCACTGACCAAACCGGCTAGGGCTATAGGATATCTTTTTAAGAGGACTTGAATTCTGATTGCAGATTTATCACATACTAACTCTAATCATGAATTTAGATCTGCATTTGGCAGGTGGTGTTATTAATTTCACTTAAATGATGAGAAAAACAAAAGCTTAGTGAGATTAAAATACTTGGCCAAGGTTATAACACTGATCGATAGCAGAGATGTCACTCTGACCTGAATATTCTGATTCTGAATCTCATTTCCCCCCATTCCCCCAACACCTATGTACCTGATTCTCATCTCTTAAAATATTTCATTTCAGTGTACAAAATCCTCAATGTCAATCTATCAGACAAAAACCTCTTGGGTGGGTGGTGGAAACAAGCTTTTATTTTCTCTTTGAAAGGAGAAAAGAAGAAGAAAAATTAAAGCTCTTCTTATAATAATTGTCCTGCATGGTTATATATGCTTTTAGTAGGGTCCTCTAAGAAGTGAGGGGATGGGAATTATAGCCCTTGAGCAGAACAGGTACTTACAGAAAAGAAAAAAACAACAACAAAGAAGAACTTCTGATGCCTTTGAAAAGCTGTTGTTCTGGAGTATTTGAATCTTCCAATGAAGGGCGAAGCCCAACTGCTCTGGAGTGGTGCTGGGACCTGGCCAGTTACTCCTTAGATCTCCACACCAGCGCATCTAGGAACAAGTGGGATGGTGATGGCACTGTGCCTGAGTCTCTGAAAAATTATCCTCCTCTAAGTTCCTAGGTAATTTTGGATCACATGGAAAGAATTGCATTGTACTTAAAACCAGAGTTATTTTGTAAATCCTCTGAACCCTTTAAAATACCCATAACTGGGGATTAGTTCAGAAACACTAGTCAAGAAAGTGTATGCTCCAAAGGTTTTATCCAAGGAAGAAAAAAAAATATTCGAGCAGCTTGAAAGCACAGTGTTGCCAATTTGGAAGAGCAATTTGCCTACAGCTGGATATAATTAACAAGCCTGGGTCAAAAAGGAAGCCAATCATAAAAGTGTAAATTGGATTGAGGTGGAGGGATGGGACAGTGACAGCCACTTCCAGAGCTGGTATATTCTGACTTCAGAGTCTCGCCTGATTTTCAAAAAGTCTATTCTAGCCCGGCCAGCTTGGCTCAGTGGTTGAGTGTCAACCTATGAACCAGGAGGTCACGGTTTGATTCCTGGTCAGGGCATATGCCCAGGTTGTGGGCTCGATCCCCAGT